CTCAAAATTCTGAGAGGAGAATGAAGGATAAGGTGTTGTGGCATGGCCATCTCCCCTGGGGAGTAATTTCTCATTTTCTGTCTCTGTCTCTCCAGCAAGCACATGTGCCCTAAAGCAAAATAAATAAATAAATAAATAAATAAATAAATAAACCTCTATTAAAAAAAAGAAAAAGAAACAATACCCAGAAACAACCAACATAAAATAAATTTACCTGTTATTGACCATGATTTTTCCTCAGATCCTTTTTTAGCTCTAGTGTTCAACATGATTCAATACAACACACTCTCGGGAAGGGCCTTGCTGCTCCAGATGAAGGCCGTGCGAAGGCCAGGTGAACAGTCTTCCAGTGGGTTATATGTGCCAATGTAGTTTGCAGCTCTGAGCACCTGTCTCTGAGGTAAAGATCAAGCCATTTATCATAGGAATATTTTCTCCAGTGGTAGAGAGCCAATTTGCAGTCATCCATTCATTCTCTCTTGCCATAATTTCTTCATAGCTTCATGAAATAGAAACCTATTGTACTAATTTAGACATGCATTTATAGGCACCAAAGGGGAACACAAAATATGGGACTTCCTATGTAGAAATCACATCTGAGACCTTAATGTGATGCTCTATGCCCACCCACACCACTACCACCAAAAAGTCCAAATTCTTCCTGAAATTACTGTGCATTGGTATGGTTCTCCAGCATGGTGAGAGCTAGAATCAATCAGAGGTTGAGTAGAATGTTAATTTTTATTATATCAAACATCCTTAAAATGGCCTTAAGTCCTTAGATGCACTGATTTGTCAGCATCATTTGCGTACTTGCATGTTTGCCTATCAAGTAGGGGAGTGACTGTGATGGCTATGGAAAAGGGGAAAGAGAGCCAGTAGGTGGCATGGAAGTTAACGCACTGGCTCCCACGTGGCTGACTAAGTGGTTCATGTCCTAGGCCCAGTGGCTTGAAAACCCTGGGGAGGTGATTTCTCACTCTCTCCCTCTGTCTCTGTCTCTCTGTGGTGAGTACATGTGCACTATAGCAAAAACTAGAAACAAGGAAGACAAAATAAAAAGGTGAATAAAGGTAAATGGCTGGAGATTCTCAGAGGGAGTAAGGGCAGATGCTCAGCTGAGTAGAACCGAGAAGGGTGTTACTCCGGACAGAGGAACAACTTAATAGGAACAGTCCACTAACAAAACCTGGAAACACCGGCGGTGCTGGGGCCCACAAGTCCATGGCTTCTAGCCCATGTAGGAGTCCTCTCAAGAGAGAAAAGTCTTGGAGTTCCAGAAATTGAGGGAGTTGAAATAAAGAGCTCAGCCTATTCTACTGAGAACTGACTTCCCTGAAGTAATCAGCAATCAAGATGATTTATCTAGGTAAGTAATCTTAGAGGAGAAACCAAGCTGAAGTAGAGTGAAGATGGGGAAACCCTAGAGCATTCTTTGAGACTTCACCCAATTAAACACCTAAAGTTCGTGTGCCTATATTCTGTGTGTAATCTATATACGCATTTCTTCTATGCTAAAGTAAAATTAACTTGGCTTTTCAAGTTCAGCCAGTTCCTGACTTAAGATGGTTTAACTTGCCATTTTTCAACTTTGTAATGGTGCAAATCCGATTTACATGGAGTAGAGACTGTATTTAGAACATGGATATTTTCCCAGGTGAGTGATACGTGATAGAAGTTCTCTGGTGATGCTGGGCAGTGGCAGGAGCCAGAGATCCAGGTCAGCCATGATGGTAAATGCTGCTACTGTACTCTACAGCATACTGCATTCAATAAAATACATGAGATACTCCACACCATATTATAAGATATGCTTATATGATTTTGATCGTCAGCTAATGTAAATGTTCTCAGCACATTTAAGGTAGGCCAGGCTAAGTTATGATGTTTGGTGGGTTAGGTGTGCTGAATGCACTTTTAAATTACTGTATTTTCAACTTACTAAGGATTTATCAGGAAGCCACCCCATCATAAGTTCAGAAGCATCTATTAGGTCATTGAGAAAGTCATGACATATTTTTCTATGCTTTTCTATGCAAAATGCATCATGACTTTCTTGACAACCTAATATACTGGGCAAGGGCCATAAATGGAAAGAATCTTTGTCCCCACAAAGATTTGGGGGGGAAATCAGAAAAGGAAAGCTCATAAATTCAAGGGGTTTGGCTCTGTAGCACATTTTATTTTACATTACTGGAGAATTAACATCTAATAGCAGCACAATACAAAAATGAAACACCAATTCATTTGACATGGATATAATGAGAAATGGACTTTGAAAATGGAAAAAAAGTAGGAGATGTAGAAACCAGTTGATAAAAATATTTTAAAAAAAATCAAACTCGTATTTCTTCATCAACAACAACAAAAACAGTTGTAGCATATATAAGAGTACATTCACTTCACATCCTCAAAGGTGGATTGTCATTTTTATTTTCCATGAAATATGTCAATGTATACATACATATATATATATATATATATATATATATATGTATGTATACTTTCACAGTCTGGAAGGCAAGAGAAATTTCAAATATATGTATATATATGTGTGTGTGTGTATATATATATATATATATATATATATATCACTTAAAATAACCCAAACATTAAAAATAGCAGCAACACTGGTCTTTAAATATTATATTATACATTTATATTATTAAATTATTCACATGACATATATTTTGGTAGTTATTTAATTATTTCTATCACCTAATGCTCACATACAATTTACAAACTCCAAGGTGCTGATTTCATCTCTAAATAACTCAGAGTCTATATTCAATAAATACTATTACAAAGAGTAATTATAAAACACAGACTGAAAAACATTCTCCAGACCAGGGAGGAAATTCTACCAAAAGCTTTTAGAGAAAAATCAGGTTTGAAGGCAACCAAGGCATCTCCAGGGTTCCCGAGGCAAAAGTGTGATCTGACCACACTCCCTGAAATGTGAGGGACTGAGTCCAGAGAAATGTGTCAATGGGCAGAAGAAGGCACTGTCACCTCTTCATCCTTCCATATTTCATTTGAATATGCTTTAAAGTGATGAATGCGGGAAAATTGCCAATAGACAGGATAGAATCACTTCTCACCAAGAGGCAAGACACTGAACTAGGAGATCAATAATTATTTTTCAGCATTTACATTTATTCTGATAACCAAGATTTCAACAAGACCTTGTATACTGACTGAATCATGGAGAGTGCGAAAAGTACTTCTTCCCCAATTCCCCATCTAAGCCACCAGAACAATCTGCTAATCCTACTAGCCTAAAAAGAAACTTCAAACTGGGACCAGCAGTTGGTGCAATGGCTATGTTGCTGGACTCCCATGTAGTCAACTACGGTTCAAGTCCCGGACCTGGTGGCCTAAGCTTATGCTGGGCAGATGTGTGTCTGTGCCCAAGATCCCAAGAGGAGAATGGAGGAGAAGGGGTTGTGGCATGGCCATCTCCACTGGGGGATGATTTCTTGCTTTTTGTCTGTCTGTCTTCCTGGCAAGTGCACGCGCTCTTTATCAAAAACCTTTCCAAAGGAAAAAATAAATAAATAAAGAAACCTCAAACATGATGACAGGGGTTTCCTCATTCTTGGACTCAGCTATAGAAGTTGCCTCTGTAATAGTGGCTTCTTTTAGTATTTTAAAGGTTTTTCAGAAAAGGTCCATGTTTAAGTCTCACAATGAGATGGGGTCCATATTCGCCTTGTACTCTCTGATATTTCAATCGTTTGTCCCCATTTTCAAACCACATCATATGACACTATTTCTATTGCTTCTCACAAAAATCTTGTAAGGAAACCAGGACAGGCATCCATGAGCTCATTTCAAAGATCAGGGAAATTGAGGTTCACAGAATCCAAAGTGACTGAGCTCATGCACAGTCATGCACATTAATGAACAGGTACAGATCTGCAGAATTGAATGCTTAACAACGGTCACTGATTCTTAAAAAATAAGCAAGCTTGGTTTATAGTTGTTTCTGAAGAAGGAATTCATTTCAAGGGGGTGTAGGAATAAAGGGAGAAAAATGAGTTCAAGAGAAGAAAAAAGGAGAAACAAGTGGTGCCTCTAAGCAGTTATCATGAACTTTAAAACAAGGGAAGTGCATTTCACACATAGAACACAGAAGTCTTAAAAAATATTTCAATTCTTCAACCTCCCAAAGAGTCTTTTTAGCCTTAATTACCACATCGTTAAGTAATTACTGAGACTGACACTGGAACACAAGGTTGCCAAGAAAATTTTATGTGTGCTCCAAGGGACTGGTAAAAATGTTCCAGCCCACTCTAAAGACCCTGCTCTTGCCCCTGTTCAGCCAGCACAACACAGTTATAAAATATATTTAGAGTGTGTTGTTTTGTTTTTCTTTTCTATTTGGTGGTTCTCTCACCTGAGGTTTTTACAAGGTATCATTAATAAATACTTATGCTGTGTCCTCAGGATAATTATCTTTTTCTCTCTGGATCTGTACTGGCCAGAAGACTGTAATAAACTTAGGATTTTAAAAATCTGTATTTCATTGGACAGTTGTCAGTGAAGAAAAATTTGAAATTTAAAAATGACTATGATAATTTAGAAAACTTTCATATTTCACACATGTCCAAGAAAATTTAGTGACTCTTAGATTGATAGATCCATAAAGTAAAATTATATTAGCTCCATAGGAAGTATCCCATTGTAAGGAAATTTACCCATATTAACCTAAGTAAGGACTGGAAGACTTAGGTTTAATGTTCTGGTATGTAACCCTTTGAACCATTAATCAGTTCCTATATTTAATTGGTAAATGCATTTTCAAGAAACACTTGAGGGCTAGCCTGTGGTCTAGTGGTTAAGGGAATCAACTGAAATTTGAATCTTGGCCTTGGTAGCTCTAAAAACATGCTGGTCACATGTGCATTCCCCAAAGCCAGACAGGATGGAGAAACATAGAGGTCACACTGCAGTGTGACCATGCCCCACTGGGGCATGAGTTCTCCTTTCTCCTCTCAGTAAGGGGTCGGGGGAGGGGGAGGGAATGTGCCCTCTGACAATTAAAAAGATTTTCCAAAATAAGTAAAAAAGCAGTTGAATTAAAAAGGAGGCCATCCATGACACTGTTGTGTAACACAATGTAAAATTTTATAAATCCCTTTGCTCTTCTCCAGGCACCACCCATCCCATCCCTTCCTTGCCCGCCGTCGCCTTCCCTAACATTCATACACTATTAATGTCCGACCTTCAGAGTCTCCCATTGAACAAGTGATGCACCAAAAGATAAATTATGCTTTGGCAAGCAGTAAATCGGACAATTCTTTGAGCTTTTCTGAGGTAGTGGATCTCTTCCTCCAAATATGATGGCTAAGAAAAGTCTAGGGAGCTGGATTAAGAGAAAGTGGAATGGTGGTCACTGTGGTTAAACACTACTCTGAAATGGACAGCTTATGGGATCACCACAGGGTTCCAAAACTTCCTCAGGGGAATCCTGACCGTTGTATGGAGAACTTAAAATATCAGGTTGCTATGTGAGGAGGGTAACGCTGCATTTTCTTGAAGGCATTGTGCAACTCATTACAATTTAGATTTAATTTCTACATGTTTTCTAAAAAAGTGCTTCATCTACACTTAGGGGCTCAATAAATATTTGATGACTGATGGAATGTTTAAGATCTCTGATTTAGCTCAGTGAGATTAAAAACATTTACAAAACCATTCAGCCGTAGGCTCCATCATCAAAGGCTAGGTCACTTTACTTGTGCATAGACTCTTAGGCACCTTTGCAACTATGAGAGGATTAAGTTCAAGTTGTATTGGGCATGGTGTAGTATATAATTCGGTACTAATTCCATTTATCAGAAAGCCCCTTCTGTCCATCCTGATTATACTATAATGAAGTGACTGTGGGTTTTTTTTCTATAAATAATTTTTCTGAAGACAAAGTGATCCACTGTCTTTGTTGCTCTTCAAGCTTTTCTGCCAAGCACTTAATCAAGACAGGGTCCACCTTAGAATCAAATTTATTAGCAAACCAATGTCCATCTTTTAAGAGCCACCGTAATTCTGCTGCTCCATAAATACACACACTTCGAAGATGAGAGCCAGTACAACTGGGATAGAAAAAACCTTCGTAATAATTCCATTTGACAAGGCGAGTCTTACTCTGCAGATCAGTCACATCCTGGGCTGATCGGAAAATCTCCCCAGGTACTCCTGGTACCCGAATTAAAGTAGCCCAAAAGTGCTCATCAGGAGAATACGTATCTTTAGACCACGCAAAAAAGTCTTTAATGAGGGAGTTATTGAAAACATACTTAACAAATGCTCGACTTAAAACAAAATAAGCACTGCCAACAAATATCTTGATGTTGTGAGGTGGTGCTTCCTTGGAGATGTTTGTCCGTATTGGGAGCTTCTTTACATATTCGTAAGGCACATGTCTGAGTTCATGGTGATAAGTGAACCTTTCCGTTTTACTGTGAGGGGGTTTCACTGTCTCTAACATATTTGCTCCATTGAGTTTCTTCAACTCCGACACTAACTCAAAATTTGACTTCAGGGGAAAATCTTGACCACACAAGTTGATAACGTATTTCCATTGAACTGAAGACCTGAGAAGGTCTGACAAGCAATTTAAATCAGCTTGCAGTCTGGAAATGTGGGCATATTCCACAGCCTCTAATTTGGAGGCAATGAAAATATTAGAGAAGCATTTAGCTAAATTGTTCATGGCAGCTTTGAAAGTATCAGGTGACTTACGGTCATAATGGATGCAGTAAATATTGTGCTGGTTGTAGATAGCGTGGATAAGCCTTTCAACCATAATTGCATCTTTGTGCACGACCAATGAATAGGCAATTGGGAAGCTTTTCTCCTCTCTCGAAACAAGTTTTTGAGTGTATCCTCTTAGTGTCTGATAAATGTCACAGTCACTGGTCATCACCACAACATCTTCATCCTCCAAGTCGATGATTTCTCTTCTTCTTATTTCCAGACTCTTGCCAATTTCCAAAGGCTCCTGCTCATAGATACCTGAACAGTTAACTTCATACCTGACTTCATCCTGAACACGGGTGTATCTGTTTCTTACAAAAGGAGAGGTACTTAAGGAGTACTCTACCAAGTAAATGCCTCTGGGAGGGAACAGGAGTCTTGCCACGTTTAGAAGTTTTAACAAGGAGAATAGCCACAGGGTTAAAAACAAGATGAAAACTTTCTGCTGTAGGGTATATTTAAAACAGCATTTGAGTGTCTTCATTCTGTAGGAGGAGAAAGGAAAAATTCAGTTAAAATATTAAGAAAAAATCAGTTCAGTTTATCTAAAATGTGTTAGGCTTCTACCACATGCTGGGCAGAATACTGGTCCAAAGATTAATAAAAAGCAGTTCTTGCCCTTGAAGGAATCCAGGAAACTAGAAATTGTACAATGATGGTATTTTGTAGTATTCTGTGTTAACTATCCCTAATTTTGATAGATGTTGGTTACCAAATAAAGTAAAAAATAATGTAAATGCCTAAATTATAAATATCACGTGTCTTATATTGTCGGCATTTCTGCTTGGCATATTTGAGGAGGGACCAAGCTGGTTTGGATGGAGGTCCTCAAGAGGTGCAAAGAAGTTGCTGGAGGCCAAAAGGAACATCCATCATGAGTCTACCTTGGGATCAGATTAGACTTAGGTCTAAGGTCAGCTAGGGAAAGCCCAGAGAATCCTCCCTTCAGAAATGAAAGCAGGGGGAGAGAGGGGCAGGTGGTGTGGTGGTTAAGGGCACTGGACTCCCACATAGCCGACCACGGTTCAAGTCCCGCACCTAGTGGTTGCTTTCTCATTTTCCTTCTCTCTCTAGTCAAATTAAAATAAATAAGTAAAGTTAAATAAAATAATTCATTACAAAAAAAGAAATAAATGAAAACAGCTGGAAGACACTATAATTTTTTTCTTTTTTAAACTCAGTTTATTTTTTCAGATTTATTCTATATAGATCAATTAACAAAGCTGTCTCTTGAGAATGCCATCCATCCTTCCTCACTCACCTCTACTTGGACCATTCTTGTTTAGAGAATCGCAAGCACCCTAACACCCCTGGGCCAAGGCACAAAAGCCCCTGATCTCTGCACATCTCATCACTCCTCTGTGGCTTGCCTCAGGGTCCCGTTCTCAGCTCACTGCACATCTCACTCACTCTCTCCCATGCTCTCTGGATTCCAACTTCCATGTTTACGTTGCCAACACCTTTCTTTCCAGCCTGCACTTCTTATGCTGAGAGGACTAGTTGTTCGGCCTTTTCTCTTCCTGTGCCCAGCTTGCCTGACTCCAATCTTCGGAGTTTTCCAGTACTCTGTAAAAAACTTATGGATTATTTTGTTTTTAAAAGAAAGCATCCACAAGCCATTTTATGCAGACAATGTAAAAGAAGTCACTCTCTGTCCAAAGTAGGAGGTCATAGCAATGCCATAGGGAAGGACAAAGCTGCTGAAGGCTAAGACCTGAATCCTCAGGTGCTTGACAGGGAGAGGAAGCCACACGTCGCCCCGTAACAACGTGCCCTAGCCCAGTAGCAGGAGCATTCAGCTCAGGAAGGCCTATCTAGTACCTGGACCTAGAGAGGCCCCTCCAGTTCTCCACATCTCTAGGTCCCCAAATAAATGACTCGAAGTTAACAGTGGCAATCTCAAAGGGATCGTGGGGTTAATGAGGCAATACATGCAAAGTGCTCTAGCGAAGCTCCAGACCTTGACTGCCTGGTAAATGCTGTGCCTTCCTCTGTCCTCATCACCATTATTTCATTCTCAAACCACCCCACTACTAGTACACACTGATGGAAAGCACTTTAAAAACCCTGGGGCTGGCCCCATGCCTGGTGGTCAAGGAAGCCAGCTCCTACATAGCCGACTACACAGTTCAAATCCTGGCCCTGATGGGTTGACAAACATGCCAGGCCTGTGTATGCGTGTGCCTCCAATTCCAACAGGAACAAGAAATACAGAAGGGCTTGTAACGTGACCATGCCCCATTAAGGAATGCTTTTTCTCTCCCTCTCTCCATCTGTCTCTGACGAGCATATGTGCACTCTGGCAAAATAAACAAACAAACAAACCAACATCCTGCTCACATGTATGGCTTTTTGTCTTATTTTTCAATCTACTTCCTATTTCCCTCAAAAGTCTTGGCATAAATTCAATATTTTAGAATTAGTAACTGGCCCCATGTCATGCTATCGATTTATTAATCTGTTTATCTATCTAGACAGGGTCTTGCTGTGTCACAATCCTGCCTCAGCCTCCCGAGTTGCTGGGGCAACAGGCCCACTCCACACCCATCTTTTCAGTGGGCCAAGAATTGGATCAGGACCACCCATGTGGCCTCAGTCTATTGAGTAGCGGTGTCTACCAGTACATGCTACTGTGCTGGGCCTGTCATGCTCTGTATTAATTTATATCACTATTAGTGTAGAATCACTGAATAAAAAGTTGTTACTTGAAGCATTGTGCCAAGTATTCCACATGAAATAATTAAATTCTCTCAATGATCAATGAGGTAGGTACAACCATCTCCCTTTTGCAAGAAATGAAATAGAGGTACATGAGGCAATTAAAAATTGCCCAAGGTTACAGATCTAAAAAGTGCTTTATTTGCAACTTGCTCTAGAGAAGTATTCTTCACCCTCCAAGCACTACTGTCTTTTGTAGCAGAAAGAAAAAAAATTCTCCAGAGTTTCCACAACAATTTAAATCCTTGACTAAATTTTATCACTACATTGATCTAACTGTCCCAACGCAGGAACAGAAATGAACTTCAAACCATGCTGAAGTCCTGACACATTCCCAACCAATTAAAAAGATTATTTACATGCAGATCTGGCCTGGTGGGATGCTGGGTGATGAATCACACTGTTTCTGCAGTCAGAGGCTAGGGCCAGTCAATGAGCTAATGAAGGGATAGTCCATTGTCCAGCCAATGAAATCGATGAAAGGAAAAGGAAGCAAGCTCATCTCAAGGGATTCTGATATCAGTTACTCCTGTCTCATATCCTGTTACCAAAAACTGATTCATTTGTTCTTGTAGTTGCCTGTGACACAGTTCAGGTTCCCTGAGAATTGCTAAGTATTCTAGAAAGCTTTTTCTGGGTGAAATCTTTCACCACGTGATATGTTCTCCATGGGCCACTTTAAAGTTCTTAAATGTGATATTATTATCTGTCAGTTTGAAAATAGGATATGAAGAGTTTATTAATCTAAAAATGTCAGGATTTTGTTTCTTCCTAAAGTCTTATGAAGAGGTGTCATCGCCGAAGAACACTAATAAAAAGATGAGCTCACTAAAAAAAGAATCCTGACCTAGTTGTAAAAGTTAAGGTCCTTCTACCGCAGCTCCTCGATTTCAATAAAGTCATTGATTCTCCCCTTGATGACTTGCTTATTGACAATCCCAGAGGATGTTTTGGAGTGAGACCATTAGGTGGGAGGATGACTCAGCCCAGATGCATTTCCTCCACACCCCCACGGCACCCCAAGAGTTGTGCAAAGGAGCAGGAAGACAAGTTTCTTGCCCAGATGACCTTACATTCTCATTGTTCTAGAGGGAAGATTGCAAAGGCAAATAATGACCAAGCTGTGAGTGGGGAAGCAAAGCAACTACATAAAATACAAGCATGACTGGCTCAGCTACATGATGCAGTCCTCAAATAATTGCAGTCTCTAAAAGGAAAAGAAAAAGACTTTCGACTGGTGTTTATATACACTTTTGTTTAAAAAATTTTAAAAGTCAGCAAAATGTAAAGATGAAAATAAAGCTCCCCAGTGATCTACCACTTGGCCATAGCATTCTGTGAACAGTATGATGGGCCTTCAAAAAGTTCATAGAAGAGCTTTGCGCAGTGGCAGTATCGTAGCCAATGAGGTTTATCCGAGACGCGATTATTGCTAATTGAAAAAGTTCATAGAAGAATGGAATTAAAGTATAAGTTTATTACAGAGCAAAAAAAGTTTGAAATTTAAGCATTATCTTTTCATAATACGCATTTTTCTTAGAAGTTTCTGAAGATCTTTCATATGTCTTTTCAGACGATTTTTAATAAACACATTTTTTTTTGGTTTGCTTTTTGACAGTCTATCCTTATCTATTTCTTCATTTCACTATATGCTATGAATGAATCCTACCCTAAACTGGATCTGTAAATTGTTAGACAGTAAATAATTTCTAACAGAGGTAAACATACTACAGGAAAACTTCAGTTAAATAATAGAATTTACTGGGGCTGGCAGTTGGCATGGTGGTTAAGGCGATGGACTCCCATATGGCTAATTGTAGTTCGAGTCTCAGACCTGGTGGCTTGCTTTCTCCTCCCCCCCCCACCCCACCCCCGTCTCTCTCTGGTAAAATTTTTAAAAAGTAACAATAACAATAACATTAAATAAAAGAATGATTTAAAAAAAATAATAGAATTTACTTTTCTAAGTGTTCTTTACCAATGCTTAATTAATAAACCCATAGTCCCTGAAGAGGCCTAGAAGAGAAATCCTAAAACTGAAAAAGACTTTAAAAATGATTGAGTTGGGACCAGCAGTTAGTATAATGGCTATGTCCCTGAACTCCCATGTAGTTGACCGCAGTTTGAGTCCTGGACCCAGTGGCTTAAATTCACGCCGCCAGGTGCGTGTGCGTGCATGCCGAAGATCCGAAGAGGAGAACGGAGCAGAAGAGATTACGGCGTTGCCATCCCCCCAGGGGGTGATTTCTTGTTTTCTGTCTCTCTGTCTTTGTCTTTCTGGGGAGCGCACGCGCCCTATAGTGAAAACCTCTCTTAAAAATTTTTTTAAAAATTACATTTGTATCTTAGTCTGTTCCTGCTACTATAACAAAATACCTTCAACTGAAGAATTTACTTCTTATAGCTCTGGAAGCTGGAACGTTCCAGATGAAGGTGCACATTCTGTGTCTAGTAAGAGCTGACTTTTGCTTCCAAGATGGTTCCTTGCTGCTATGTCTCGCATGGTGGGAGGTAGAACAGAAAAAGGGTAGAGGGGCAAACAGCTCTCTCTCATATCTGTAAAAGGTCAGTAACCTCATTCATGATGGCTCTACCCTCATGACTTAATCACTTCCTAAAGGAGCAGGAAGACAAATTTCTTGCCCAGGTGACCTTACATTCTCATTGTTCTAGAGGAAAGATTGCAAAGGCAAATAATGACAAGGCTTCTTAATGCCCTAACATTGACATTAAGTTTCTACGCTTGAACTCTGGGGGCACATTCAGATCATAGAAATAATGTGTTTGGGACCAGCAAGTGGCCTGGTAGTTGGGATGCTGGACTCCTACATGGCTGACTGCAGTTTGCGTCCTAGACCTGGCAGCTTGCTTTCTTGCTTTCCTTCTCTATTTCTCTCTCTCCCTCTCGTGATCAGGACACTCATGAAGCATCCAGTCCAGCCTGGCTCCATTCCTACTCAACTAAAACTGCTCTAGCCAAAATCAATGAAACCATCATGTTGTCCAAGAAGACACATTCCCATCTCTTCCTAGTGGCCTGTGCTGAGTGTTAGTACTATCTTCATTATCTTACTTATTCTGTTCAATCAATTTGTAAAGTAGGTACTATCATTGTCCTCCTTTTTCAGATTGAGAAACTAAATCATAGAGGATCCAAACACTTACATTTGGCCACACAGCTACTATATGGGAGAGCCAGGATTTTCACCTGTGATCCAGTTTCAGAGTCCACACCGTTAACCACAGCTTGAAATCACCTCTCCAATCTCTTGGCAGTTTTATCGTCAGTCTGTTGGTTCTACATCAAAATATATTTCAGATCCACCTAACTCTTAACTCCATGGTAACCACTCTAATCCAAGCCAGCATCAACTCTTGCCTAGATATGAAATAACATTCTAACTGGTCTCCCTTGCTCTGCTCTACTTCATTCTCTGTGCTGTAGCCACATTAATTAAAAAAAAAAAAAAAACTTAAATCAGCTCATTCCCCCTCCCTATACTTAAGACATTCCACTGGGATTCCATTTCACTTACAGTAAAATCAGAAATCCTTTCTGGGGCAATAAAGGCCCATACTGTTCCTATGACTACCTTCCTCTCCATCTTAACTCTGTATTTTTTTTTCTAATTAAGCTATCAGCAACAACAACCTTTATTTTGTTTTAAATTCTGTATTTTTTTTAAAACATACATTTATTTATGTATCTGTTATGAGTTTCAAGCCATGGAACTTGAGCCACAGTCAGCCACGTGGGAATCCAGTGCCTTAACCACCATGCCACCTCCTGGCCCCAACACCAGCCTTCTAAAAGACCCTAGAAGATCATGTTCTCTTCCTTGCCTCAAGGCTGTGCACTTGCTAGTCCCTTGCTAGACCACTTTTTCCTGGGCCTTGGCCTGATCAGTTCCTCAAGTTCTGAGAGAAATATCCTTTACTTAAGTCCTCTCTGATTATGCTTCCCTAATCTCTCTCCTGTTTATTGCACTCCTTGTTTTCTTCTGAGCACTTTCTAAAAAGCAATTGGTTCTTTGTTTACTTGCTTATTATCTATCTCTGGACACAAATCTAAGGTTCAACTCCTGCACCAGGGGGGTACCTGTATACAGGGGAGTTGCTCAATGGGACAAATGTGGGATCTACCACCAGAAATACCACAGAAAGTCGTTTAATCTTAGATAAGACTTTATTTTCCATGCATTAAATTATATCTCTTTCTTCTGTCTCACAGTGCTGTTGTGAAGGTCCTGTGAGCTAATGCATGTGAAAGAGCTACAGGAAAAAAGGCAACTTTGGAATGCAAATATTGGTACTAGGTCCCCCAACAAGAGAAATGGTTTTATGGGAAAACTAGGAGAGTCACTATGTTGTAAGTTAGTTTTATTTTTCTAAAACTTTCACTGTCCTCTTCATTCTGACATTCTAATTATTATTTGTTTTCACTATTTGCCAATGCTCTTTTTTGGTTAATGTCTGGAGTATAAAGTATTCCTGAAGTTTCAGAGTTATGGAGATTTTTCTTGGATTTTGAAAGCTAGGAAGACAGGTACTCTGTTAATCTCTTGAATTTTATTTTTCTCAGTATGCTCAATATTTTTGAAAGCTCAATGGCCAAATAATTTCTTTAAAAGACATCCAAGAGCACTTGCAACTGGTGCTCTGTAGTTACAATCAGCTAAACAGCATTTGTGACATTATGCATTGGAGAAGCTATAAACTTTTTCCTTAGGTTCACTATCTTTTAGGGGCCATTCTTTTCTAAGTATTGAAAAACTGCAGTGATGTGTTCTTACATCCCTGTTTGCAGCATTAAGAATTCTGTAGCAATATGAATATAGAAAACATACCTCTAAACAAGGCCTTTGTTTGGCTCAGTGGACTAGGATGACCCGTGCTCAAAAAGGGGGCTCTGCCTGAGGCCCCTGTAGAGTGGATCACAAGTGATAACTTTTTCTGTAGACAGTTTGCTTCAGTTTACAAGTACAAAGACTAGGGTCACCATGTCCTTTAATAAAAGACTACTGTACCTTCAAGGTTTTGAGAATTGAGGCCAGAATATAAAAAACTAGACATGAAAATCACTCTATCCACCACCTCTTTGGTTTACAACATTTCCAGCTAGTAAGTTCCCCAGAACTTCTTAGTTTTTTTGTGGGGGTGGGTGGTCTGTAAAGTTACCTGTTAGAGGAGCAACCACATCAGGATATCTTTACCAAGAGGTAGTCCCTCAAAGCCATCTGAAGTCAGGGCTGTGACAGTGCAGCCAAAAAGCACAGAATTCAATCAACTTTGTACAGTTACACCAGTTAGGAGATGGAAGACTCAATTCTGTGCTTTAGTTCATCCATGTGTGTGTCTTGGTGAGCAAAACTATTATACATGCCTAAGAAGTCTGAAGAAATTATGACACTGAATGAAAAACTTTTTTTTGTAACAATTTATAACCCTCATCATGGAGCAAAGCATTAACAGTTTTTCTCTATAGAAAAATAATTTTTTGAGAGGTTTTCGCTATAGGGCACATGCACTCGCCAGACAGACAGAATCAGAGAGACAGTAAGCGAGAAATCACCCCCCAAGGGGGATGGCCATGCCACAATCCCTTCTCCTCTATTCTCCTCTTGGGATCTTGGGCACGCATGCACACGCGCCCGGTGTGAGTTTTAAGCCACCGGGTCCAGGACGCGAACCGTGGTAGACTTCGTGGGAGTCCCAGCGACATAGCCATTATGTTAACTGCTGGTCCTTCTATAGAAAAATTTTAAATTAGAAAAAAAAAATAAGTTGAATTTGAAACATACAACGCCCTTAAATTTTAGATTGTTGAAAACAGTTTGCATACAATGCTTGCCCCTTAGTAGATGTAAAGGATTCCACACAAAGGGTGAAGTTGTGGACTAGATCTTTGCCTCTCAAGCTTCGTCAAACGGAGGTTTCATTCCTCTCAGGATCCTCTTTTCTTCTCTACCTTTTTCCCTTAGCTAGACAGAGCATAAAACTGAAATATATTTTATGTTTTATGTTCTAAATTTAAAATGTGGGTTGAGATATTTTGGCTTCTTTTTCTATAGAGCAGAATTGAAAACATTTAAGCCTATTTCTCAAATGTATGTTTATTAGACTATGAAGAAAATACTCCCCCCATCCTACCCTACAAAGTCTACATGGTTCAATACCCCCAACCCCTGAAACTTTTGGAAGTCTTTATTTTGATACTGCCTGGCTAACTCCATATTTTATACTGTCCAAAATGAATTCCTCAAAGATTCTACAGCCAGCTGAAGAGGCATAAGTAACTGATTTCTATGTGTGAACTTAAAGTAGACCCTTAACCACCCATAAATAACTACATCCGAGAGGCAGCACAGGGATGAAGATGAGAATCAAGGGACTGACATCAGAAATGGTTTAAAGCCAGGTTAAGAGTGGCCAGACCACTCTTCATGAATGGATTAGATGTGCTCAGTTTTAAATGATCAGAAAAACCTTTTTGTTTGTTTTCTGGGTTCTGCAACATGGTGGA